GTGCCAACTACTGGTGGAAAAAGTAAATAAATACAAGGAGGTCCATGCTGTGAGTAGCTGGAATAAAAATACTGCTGTTTTGATGGAATGAACGTAGTACTATGTTTATAATAGACTAATTCATCCAGAATCAACTTCCAAAACCAGTTTGCCTTAACTCATTTAACTCAATTTCAGTTAGCCTTATGATTATTGCAACTAATGTTTAAAATTCAGAATTAGAAATGAAACACTGGCTGGGTGCAGTGGCTTACACATGTAATCCCAGCACTTTGGGAGGCCGAGTCAGGCAATCACTTGAGGTCGGGAGTTCAAGACTAGCCTGGCTGACATGGTGAAACTCCACCTCTACTAAAAATACAAAAATTAGCTGGGCATGGTGGTGGGTGCCTGTAGGCCCAGCTACTGTGGAGGCTGAGGAAAGATATTTGCTTGAACCCGGGAAGCTGAGGTTGCAGTGAGCCGAGATCAGGTCACTGCATTCCAGCCTGGGCGACAGAGTGAGACTCCATCTCAAAAAAAAAAAAAAAATTACCAAATAATATGGGTATTATGGCTGAGTATTTATGAGTTATTTTTGTATTGCTAATACTTTATCACATATAGGAAATCATGAGATTGTTATATATCGTTGTGTCTCTTTCTGTTCTACTTCATTCTGAACACTTGCATGATTCTTTAGCCATTTTGTCAAAAAAAGACTATTTCTTTACAATTTTGAATTTCTGCTAAAAATATTTAGTGGAATAAAATTTATTCTATTTAAAAATGAACCTTTTGATCATTATTGCCTCTTTGCTGCTTTTCATTTATTATAAGAGTCTATGAACTCTATATGTATTTTATATATACATATGGGCCTGGGAGGCAGAGAGAGATACATATATATTTTAATTAAAAGAGAGATACATATCTTTTTAAATTATGCATGCATACATATGTATGCATTAACCAAATTAGCACACTCTCAGAGCTGATTTCTGTTTAGTGAGGTATTCATATTTTAAAAGAATAAAGAAAAATGGATACCTCTTTTGATCACCATTCCATATTATTTATCAAGATAACTAATTGATAAAGGTTTTGTTTTGCTTTGAGACAGTCTCTCTCTTTCTCTCTCTCTCTCTCTCTCTCTGTCTCCCAAGTTGGAGTGCAGTGGTGTGTGATCTCAGCTCACTGCAACCTCCACTGGGGCTCAAGTGATCCTCCTGCCATAGCCTCCCAAGTAGCTGGGACTACAGGTGTGTGCTACCATACCTGGCTAGTTTTTGTATTTTTTGCAAAGATGAGGTTTCATCATGTTGCTAAGACTGGTCTTGAACTCCTGGGCTCAAATGATCTTCCCACTTGGGCCTCCCAAAATGCTAGAATTACAGTCATGAGCCACCATGTTTGGCCCTAATTGATAAAGTTTTAAAATGCAAAGTTATGCATCATTTCCAAATAAATTTATTGTAAACATCATAAAATTTTGAAAAAGTTTTCAAAATGTCACTGGAATGTTAACAAATTAATACTATCTGTGACTACTTTTTCCACTCTGCCAAAACCTGATACATCTCCACTGAAGTAAAGAAATTGGTCTCACACAGTCAACATCATACTGAATGGGCAAAAGCTGGAAGTATTCCCCTTGAAAACCAGAATAATACAAGGATGCCTACTCTCACCACTCCTATTCAACATAGTATTGGAAGTCCTGGCCACAGCAATCAGACAAGAGAAAGAAATAAAAGGCATGCAAATAGAAAGAGAGGAAGTCAAACTATCCCTGTTTGCAGATGCCATGATTCTATATCTAGAAAACCCCATAGTCTCTGCCCAAAAGCTCCTTGAGCTGTTAAGCAACTTCAGCAAAGTTTCAGGGTACAAAATTAATGTACAAAACTCAGTAAATTCCTACACAACAATAATAGCCAAGCCAAATCAGAAACACAATCCCATTTACAATTGCCACAAAAAGAATAAATACCTAGGAATACAGCTAACCAGGGAGGTGAACGATCTCTGCAATGAGAATTACAAAACACTGTTCAATGTGCTCAAAGCAATTTAAAGATTCAATGCTATTGCTGTCAAACAACCAATGACATTCTTCACAGAACTAGAAAAAACCTATTCTAAAATTCATATGGAAACGAAAAAGGGCCCAAACAATCAAGGCAATCCTAAGCGAAAAGAACAAAGCTGGAGGAATCACGCTACCTGACTTCAAACCATACTACAAGGCTACAGTAACCAAAACAGCATGTTACTGGTACAGAAACAGACACACAGATCACTGGAAGAGAATAGAGAGCTCAGAAATAAAACCATACACTTACAACTATCTAATCTTAGACAAAGCTGGCAAAAACAAGCAATGGGGAAAGAAATCCCTACTTAATAAATGGTGCTGTGATAGCTGGCTAGCCATATGTAGAAGATTGAAACTGGATCCCTTCCATACACCATATACAAAAATCAACTGAAGATGGATTATAGACCTAAATATAAAACCTAAAACTGTAAAAAAACCTGAAAGATAACTTAGGAAACACTATTTTGGACATAGGAACTGGCAAAGATTTCATGATGAAAATGCCAAAAGTAACTGCAGCAAAAGCAAAAATTGACAAATGAAACTTAATTCAACCTAAGAGCTTCTGCATAGCAGAAGATACTATCAACAGAGTAAACAGGAAACTTACACAATGGGAGAAAATATTTACAAACTATACATCTGACAAAGGTCTACTATTTAGAATCTACAAGGAACTTACACATACAAGCAAAAAGCCGCCTCATTTAAAAGTGGGCAAAGGACATGAACAGACACTTTTGAAAAGAAGACATACATGTAGCCAACAAGCGTATGAAAAAATGCTCAATATCACTAATCATTAGAGAAATGCAAATCAAAACCACAGTGAGATACCATGTCACTCCAGTCAGAATGGCTATTATTAAAAAGTTAAAAAATAACAGATGCTGTTTGAGACCAACCTGGCCAACATGGCAAAACCTCGTTTCTACTAAAAATACAAAAAATTAGCCAGGTGTGGTGGCATGTGCCTGTAATCTCAGCTACTCAGGAGGCTGAGGCAGGAAAATCACTTGAACCCAGGAAGTGGAGGCTGCAGTGAGCTGAGATCATGCCACTGCACTCCCTCCTGGTTAACACAGCGGGACTCTGTCTCAAAAGAAATAATAATAACAACAATTAAAAAAAAACAGATACTGGCAAGGTTGCTGAGAAAAGAGAACTCTTATACAGTGCTGGAGTGGTGTAAACTAGTTCAACCTCTGTGGAAAGCCTCAGATAACTAAAAACAGAACTGCCATTTGACCTAGCAATCACACTACTGGGTATATAACCAAAGGACTATACATCAGTCTACCACAAAGACACATGTGTGCAAATGTTCAACACAGCACTATTCATAATAGCAAAGATGTGGAATCAACCTAAATGCCTATTAATGACAGAGTGGATAAAGAAAATGTGGTACATATACACCATGGAATACTATGTGGTCATAAAAAATAATAAGATCATGTCCTTTGCAGGAACATGTATGGAACTGGAGGCCATTATCCTTAGCAAACTAATACAGGAACAGAAAACCAAATACTTCATGTTCTCACTTACAGTGGGAGCTAAACAATGTGAACACATGGACAGAAAGAAGGGAACAACAGACACTGGGATCTACCTGAGAGTAGAGGGTTGGAGGTCGGAGAGGATTAGAAAACAACTGTTGGGCACTATGCTTAGTACCTGGGTGACAAAATAATCTGTACACCAAACTCCCAAGTCATGAGTTTACCTACATAACAAACCTGAACATGTACCCCTGAACCTAAAATACAAGTTAAAATATTCTTTGGGCTCATTGAATAAAAATCCCATAAAGATTCAAAAAAGTCATATACTCAAGATTATAAAAACCTTGTAGTCACTAACCCTCACAAATCTAAAAGGGAATGATTAGAAATACAAACTTACTGTATTTTAAGAAGATTGACCTCTCAGAGAAATTCACATTGCAGCCCTTAAAAATCCTCCCACTCCCAAATCACACCCAAATGGATCCAAAACCTTCAAAAATAAGTTAGACCTCAACATTAGGAGAAATTCTAATATGGGAAATTGGTTTTAGACAAACCATTTGTTTACTTTCATAATGAGGGTAGAGAGGACAGGACAAAGTCACCATAAATCACTTGGTAAAATGTGTGAAGTTTTTAATTTACAAGAAGGAAAATGAAATAACTCAGAAATGCTGGTATCTTACACCCTTGCCAGGATTCTCATGCCTTGAGAGAGTCTGAGCTGGGGCCATTTGTCCTGGGAATCACACACCACCAGAAGAGAGGCATAGTCTCCTGAGAGCGCTGAGTTTTTACATCCATAAGCATGAGCAGCTACACAATTTACAGGGCTAGGTGTTCAAAAAACAGTAAGGATTTCAAAGTAGTGACAACAGAACTTTAAATTAAGCCTGAGGCCCTACTGAGTACGGATGCTGTGCAGCTACCCAGGTCACACACACCTGAGGCAGCCAGGTCTATGAGAACAACCATTGCCTGCTCTCTGCTTTCTCTTCCACCTTCTCTCTTCTCATCTTTCTTCTTTCTTTGCCTTATTTTTCCTTTAAGTCTGCTTTATGCATCTTCTCTGTTAACCTCCACATCTTTTTTTCTTAATGCAAAGTCCCTGGGTAGCTAATGGAGGGAAACTCTGAGCTTAGATATTGCCTTGATGGATGTTACCCATGATCAACTCAGTTTGAAAAGAACATTCTTCCTAAAGATACTCAATATTTTCTTAATTTCCTCCAAATCTGCCCATTAATGCAGTATCTGGCCTCCTAGCAGAAGCAGATAACTTTTCAGAAACTTAAGAAATCAGTAGTATCAAAATAATCTCTTCCAAACCATAAGATGAAAATGTACTAACTTTCTTTCTTTTTCCCTTTAATTGGACTTCCTGTGGGACCTTCCTTTCCTGTTAATAGAATGGAGGTAAGAAACTGTTACCAATGTTTCCAATGTTTTGTTTTGCGGGGTTTTTGTTTGTTGTTTGTTTTTGTTTGTTTGAGAAAGGGTCTTGTTGTGCTGCCCAGGCTGGAGTGCAGTGGAGCGTGTTTTTATTTGCCATGCTGTTTATTGAGTGTCTACTATTTGCTGAGCACTGTAACATTTTAGAAACTTTCTAATTTCTAATCCTTTTAGTAAGTATGACGAAATGAAAGACAGGTAACCTCTATTGAATACTTCCTATGGATCAGGCACTATGCTGAGCTTTATACGCATTATTTATCTTCAAGACATCCCCATGGAATAGGTACTAATATTATCTCTATTTTACAGTGAAAAAATCCTAAGAAAGTTTCTTTGAACTGGAGAGTTCAAGTGGCTTACACAGCTATTAAATGATGAAGTTAGAAATGAGACCCAGAACTGCCGAACTCTCTCTCCTAGTTCTATCCTATATATAAGAAGGTATCCCTTATAATATTTTGCAACTTATAGTGTTTTATTTGCAGTACTTATTAAAACAGACTTTCATAAAGCTCTATGAAGTGTAATTAATTTTAAGGCACCATTCTTAACACATAGGCTATGTTTAAAAACAAGCAGCAGGATACAAAATTTTGGTTAGATGGCAAAAATAAGTTCAAGAGATTTCTAGTATAGTGACTATCATTAATAACAATGTATTGTATTCTTGACAATCACTGAGAATAGACTTTAAGTGTTCTCATCATAAGAAAATGGTAAGTATGTGAGGTAATGCATTTGTTGGATTAGCTCAATTTAGTCATCCACGATGTGTCCATATTTTAAAACATCATGTAGTACACAATTTAAAAAATGCAGTTCATTTAATTAAAAGCACACAGTTCTTTTAATTAAAAAAACTTTTTAAAGACAGTTTTACTGTTAAAAAAGTCTTAAGAAATACCATTTGGATGTATATATTGCTCTGAAAATCATGATATATATTATATGAAAAATTAAACTGGTTTTAATTTTAACTATATGAGATCGTGATTTGTCATAATAGACCACAATCCAACGTGTTAATGTGGTATCAAAAATTCTTAGTTCAAAAAAAAAAGAAAAATAATCTTAGTTCATTTTTAAATCTAAATACTGCTTTAATAGTTTTCATTAATTTTAGGAGCCACTGACTTAGCAGAGTAAAGTTTATCTAAACTAAAATTTTTTTAAGTGCCATTTAATAACCCTCTTTCTAAAAAACAGGCAGCAGGCCAAATTTGTCTTGTGGGTAGTACTTGCTGACCCCTCCCTAGAGAATGAATTATGTACAAAGACACTAGACACAAAAGAATAGCAGCATTTCCCATTTGCTTTGAAGGTTGGAAGTGGCATAGAATCTGTCATTACCTTTGTTGGGAAAGTTCAAGGCGAGATAAGGCAGTTGCTTAAAAAGGGAAGATTTTCTGAACCAGAGGAGAGGTACAGCTATCAAGTGTGCCTGTGCCAGGGACGGAGGGTGGTAAGGTGTGGAGTTTCCACCAGAGCCGTGGGGGTGTCACAACACAAACATGCCATGGCTGGTCATCTGGAATGCCCTTGGACAAAGTATTACGTGTTCAAAGGGAGTAGACATCTCCCTCATAGAAACTTGAAGATTACATTTTAAAATGTTCTATTGAATGCGATTCATACATTTCAAAGCAGAGAGAAAAAGGAACAAGAGGTGCACTGAGAATTCTTTACCTACTCCCTTTGAACACATAGGGTTGTCTGTTATAAAAGAAGTTAAAAAGGAGATCTGAGATCAAATATCCATTGCTGCCTCTACAAGAAAGGGAATTTACTGAAAGAGAAGTCCACTGGGTTAGATTGTAAGGAGGCAAGAGAGGGACGAGCTCCATGTGCGATATTAACTAGCATTTTTAGAAGCTAGTCTGGCTGTTCATTCCAAAATAACCAGCATTCTGTGAACAGATCCCTGTGACCTCTGTCCCACTGTTCAAATAAGCAACAGGACCAGCTGCTTCTAGTGTTGCCCCATCAGCCGTCCCAAGAACTGCAGGCGGAGAAACACAACTTTAGCTGGACATGGAGGGTCTTGTCACTTACAAAAGACAGCAGAAGACACCAATGGAAATTATTTGCATTCATCTCACTCCCCAGTTCTTGCCATGAGCTCCTTTTTAAAATGTCTGAAGTGAGAGATTTACGGGGTTGAGAGATAAAATGTCCCAGTTTGCCTCTGTGTCTTGTATCTAAAGTTTGATCACTGTGTAAAATTGAAGGTTTATATTTCTACACAAGAGGAGAGGAAAAAGTGGTTGAAACACTGAAACTATAACTAGGTAGTTGATAAACAGATTCAGATCTATATAAATATAGATAAACAGATAGATACATACATAGAGAGAGAGAGAGAAAGAGAGAGAGAGATGGTCTTGTGTGTGCCTTACCTTTTAGAGCTAATCCAAGCACTGAAAATACTACCAAGCCAAGTCCTTAATCATCACAGGAAAATCATGGAAATGAAACGTAGAAAACTAATAATAATCGTATACTTTGTATGTGTATTTTTTTTTCCAGCACGTAAAGGGTTTTTATAGGAGCTGTTAGGAAGAAAAAACAAAACTAAAACCAAGATCTTCTCAGTTCTATTTAAAACCTATTGTCTTTTTTTCTTTTGTTTTGTTTTTTTGCATTATATACTTAATGCTGTAAAACTAATGAGAATTCAATACTATTAAGTCATTCTGAGGTTGTTCCAAAGATTTTCAGGGCTGTTATTAAAAGCAGCAGCTGAAATTCAGACAGAGGGGTTCACTGTTAGTTGATTGTTAGTAATCCTTATCTCTGAGGCTATTTTCATTAATTTTTCTTTTGTGTACTTTTTCTTAGCTTCCAATTTTTAAAATATGTTTTGATATATAATTAAACATCATAAATGTGTATTCTTTTTAAAAATACTCATGGAAAATGAAGAACAGCATCATTGAATAATTAACACATGACAGCAAAACCTGCATGAATAATTCTCAGCTCAGAGACACTAGGAAATATTTAACTTTTACATGGTGGAGATTTTTCTGTTAAGTGTAAAGGGTCACACATGCTCTCATTCATCCCTGCCTTTATGCCGAGATACTACATCAACACACGAGGCTGTCTGTAAACCAGTTTGAGATATTTCTGGTTACTACTTATTATCTAGTTTCTAAAAGCACAGTGTAGGAGCTGGATGGGTGTTAGTTCCTTTCCTTCCCATCCTGAGTCATGGCTGACACCTGTTTAACAAAGATAGGTTAACAAGAGAAGGGCATAACAAATTTATTTGATCATAGTTTCACATAACATGGGACCCTTCAGAATGAAGACCTGAAGATACAGGGGAAGCAATCCATTTTTATGCAGGTTCAATGAAATATGAACAGCTGTGTAGAAATATGATTAGGCACAAAGGGTGTGATCTAATGCTAACAGACTGAGTGGGGAAACTAGCCCATCCTGCCTGTTCAGATTTTTCTCAGCCTCTCTATGCAACACCCCCTCATCCCAGGTAAGAAGTAGGCTCTCTCTGGAATGAGGGTCTGAATTTCTTTATGGCCAGGTGTTACACAGAAAAGCTGGGGTGGGTAGAGCAAATGTTTAGGTTTCATGGCTGGCCTTGAGAGTTCTGGTGTCTAGGATCTGTCTTGGAAAAGAGGGATTCTAGTGTGGAAGGATTGTCTTGGGGGAGAAAGAGAGGAGAGACGGGAGGGCAGAAGAGGGTCAGAGAGACTGTTTCTGAGTCTGCTTCTTAGGCCTGCACTTTGGGGTACTGTATTCTGAGCCCCAACAACAGCATCTTGTTTCTAATTTTCTCTGGGTGTTTTCTTACCTTTAGCTTAAGAAAGTTTTAATGGAGTTTTGTGCTTTCTTATTCAAGGCCTTCATTTTAAATATCCCCAACAAACTAAGTTATACAGTAAAAATCATGTTGGCTAATTAGGAAAAAGCTAGTATGAATTAAAGGAAAACTCTATATTATAAAACATTAAAGTATAGCTGTGTTTTTTGGAAGTTTATTGTTTTACCTGAATGTATTATATCTCACTCTAATGAATTTGATTTAAAGACCAGCCAGTGATGGTAATTACAGTATCAATTTTTCAAATTCAAATGGGGTCATGTAATAATTTTTAAATTTGCTACAAATTCTAATTTCTTTAAATTCTTTATATAAAGACAATGAAAAGCGAAATCCATGCCATGGTGGTTTGCTGCATGCAATCAACCCGTCATCTACATTAAGTATTTCTCCTAATGCTCTCCCTCCCCTAGCCGCCACCCCCTGCCACAGGCCCGGGTGTGTGATGTTCCCCTCCCTGTGCTCTCATTGCTCAACTCCCACTTATGAGTGAGAACATGCAGTGTTTGGTTTTCTGTTCTTGTGTTACTTTGCTGAGAATGATGTAACAAACCTGCACATTCTACACATGTACCCTAGAACTTAAAGTATATTTTTTTTAAAAAAAGCCAATAAAAAAAGTTAGGGAAATGCTTTCAGTTCATCTTTGTAACAGTCCTGGTTCTGCCAGGAAATAGATGGCACACTCAGATGGAGTGATTGAGAAGAGTGACTATTTGCAAAGGTGTGGGCAGGGATAAGAAAAAAGAAAAAAAGTTAAATCCAATAGTTGTACAAATCTAAATGAGAATACAACTTAAGAGTTGTCTGTCATTACTAACACTATGGAAGATCTGATGGAAGGCATAAGAATATATTGAGGTCATCACAGTGCCTACACATAATAAGTACTCAACTCAATATATGTTTGTCAGGTGAGCATATGAGTTATTATAATTCCCAGCATTCCATTAAGGGAACAAGTAGATGTGTGAAGAGAGTACCAGCAGCATGTTCCATTCTCCCGATTGTCTTCAGTTATTATAGCAGGTAAGTTTTTAATCCTATGTTTGTGCTAGCACTATAGCATTTACAGGTTTCTCCCTAATATTATTGCCCATTAACACACAATAATCAGAGTTCGGAGTAATCATTTACATCACTCCACAGAATAGATCATTGAGGCACTGGCTGACCAGTTGACTTTCTACGTGATGAGACATGTGATGAGAAAACAGCAATGCTGAAGGCGCTGCTTGGTGCCTCTAGAAGCCATATTTCTGCTTTCTCCTCCCTATATGCCTTTCTTTTTCTTTAATGGAATTCTGGGAAGATGTGTGGGTGAGAAAACCTGAGTATGGAAGGTGTTGCAAAGATGTATATGTTGTAAAAAATCAAGGTAAACTGTCCTAACATGTAAATAAACTATACTCCTAAAGCTGCAAACGTTTTAGTTGACAGCAATTATTATTATGCTCAATTATTTGTTAACCATCATGATGACATGTCTTCTAGATGCATCTTTGCTTATATTAGCTTATTGGCAAGAAGTCTGTAATGTGGCATAACTAAGAGTAGTCAGATTCTATTTATAATGTAAAATAATAAAAAATGCCCAAATCTATTCAGTCCTGGAGAGCTCCCAAAGCTTTTCACAACCATCGTCACATTTTGCCTCCTCAATAGCCCTGTGGAGTAGCTAGAGATGATATAATTGCAGCTGGAGATGAAGACAATATTCAAATGGAACATGTCAACCAATTTGCTAGTACAATTTTCTCCTATTTCTGTGACACAGATGTGAAAACCAAAAAAAAAAGAAAGAAAGGAAAAGCAGAATGAATGCCAAGAAATAGCATGTGATTAGAAATGTTGTTCATTTCTTCTTTCAGTAAACCACAGAAAGATAACAAAGGCTACTGCGCCCAGTACAGAGGGGAGGTGTGTAATGCAGTCCTGGCAAAAGACGCTCTTGTTTTCCTCAACACCTCCTATGCGGACCCTGAGGAGGCCCAAGAGCTACTGGTCCACACTGCCTGGAATGAACTGAAAGTAGTGAGCCCACTCTGCCGGCCAGCTGCTGAGGCTTTGTTGTGTAACCACATCTTCCAGGAGTGCAGTCCTGGAGCAGTGCCTACTCCTACTCCCATTTGCAGGTAAAATCTCAAAAATCAGTCAAAGGAAAAATTCCATTTTTCTATCTGCACAACAGAAGGAGGTTTTGAAAGAAATTGTAATGTGCAACAGTAAAAGAAAAAGTATGTTTCCATCCAAAACCGGAGGTAATGGCTGAGTGCAGTGGCTCATGCTTGCAATCCTAGCCCTTTGAGAGGCTGAGGTGGGTGGATCGCTTGAGGTCAGGAGTTCAACACCAGCCTAGCCAATGTGGTGAAACCCTGTCTCTATTAAAAATACAAAAAATAGCTGGGTGTGGTGGTGCATGTCTGTAATCCTAGCTACTCAGGAGGCTGAGGCAGGAGAATCACTTGCATTGGGGAGATGAAGGTTGCAGTGAGCTGAGATCACACCACTGTACTCAGCCTGAGTGACAGAGTGAGACTTGGTCTCAAACAAACAAACAAGAAAACAAATAGGAGGTAATTAATCAGACAAAATTTCTACCACGTAAATCACTGAAGATAACCTAAAATACAAGTACTTAGAACCTCTAGAAGATGTCATAAAAGTATATTCCCTTACTCTTGTCATTGTTCATATTACCATATCCATAAATATCACTGATATCTATTAAATGAAAGGAGAAATCTTAAACTAACATGGATTTCTAATAAGGTCCATGAGTAAGCCAAGATAGAGAAAATAAAGACTGTGTGTCATGTATTTGTCAATAAATGAGATCATGACAAGCATTTCAGAATGTTAAAGTACAGTCCATCCAAAATTCTAATTTCTGATGCTGTTGCCTCATTTGGGTGGGGATAGGAGGGAATTAGATGATAAATAGATATATTTTTAAAAACTTCCATACTTTTAAACTATTGAAATTGATAAATTCATGTTGAGTAGAATTATCTTCATCTTTAATTACTTCTTATGTAGAAAAGAAAAGAACCAATCTAGTTTTTGAGCCAAATAGAACAAAGTCTAAATACTGTTAGCTCTGCTTTCTTGATGTGTGTGGTCTTGGCTAAACTTCAGTTTCCTCATCTGCCCAGTAGAGTTGAGAGGATTAAAGGATAAATCACACCAACAGAATATGTCAGAAACTAGATAGACATTGTTATTCCTAAATTTTCTGTGGAAAGAAAACCATGAAAATTACCATCACAGCACATTTCCACTTCTAGTTTGATAAAACCAGAAATTATTTAAATATTGCAATAATTTTAGGACACTCTCTATTTAGTATATAATAACTACAGTATGGTCATTAAATTAGAGTTATGTAGTCCTCAATTTACTGTAAAGATTGAGGGTTTGGAGACACTATAAGAGTAATATAATTTGTTTATTCACCTAAGATGATTATATTGTGATCATGCATCTCATCTAAAAATCTCTAGGGACTTCAGCATTGAGGGAATAAGAAGGGGAAAGAGAAGGAAAGAAAAAGTAAAGTTATTGCAAAAAAAAAAATGGGAAGAGTGGGTGAGAGGCATTAAAATTTGTTTTAACAGAATTTAAGAAATACTAATGCTATTTCAACTGTCCTAGCAGTTATTTGAAAAAATAATGCCTCTGTTTATTGTCACTTCTTTAGATTTTCCTTTCTTGAGCTACTTTATAAGATTCTCCAAAATTGGTTATGTGATATACTGCTCAAAAATGAAAATCTTTTTGCTAGAAAGTAACACATGTACAATAAACAGAAATGTAACAAGCAAAATAAAGTGACAGTAGATTCTATCAGCTCTTCCTTTAGTACTGCTAACATAATTTGTGGTGGCCACTGGAATAGTTATCATACTTACACAGTGACACTCAGGCAGATCAGCTCAACACCATGCACAGATGCTTGAGATGAATAATAATTAGATTAGAAAATTTTCTGTGTATGTGTGACAGGCATTGTGGTTTTCTGATTACAAAACCCACAAGACTCAATTGTATAAAAAAAATAGAATGTACCAAAAAAACACTAAGCAGAAAATAAAAAGGTATACTTGACAATTTTAGGTATTAAAAATTTTTTTTTCTATTTATAGCCTTTACCCATTTTGCCACTAGATTGCTTATTCTTTTCTAATAAAATTGTACAATTATATTACTTACCCATGTGCTTATTACACATTCTATAAATTATTTTTCCCAATGCAAAGTGAACTTTGGTTTTTATTTATTTATTTATTTTTAAGACAGGGTTTCACCATGTTGGTCAGGCTGGTCTTGAACTCCCGACCTCAGGTGATCCGCCTGCCTTGGCCTCCAAAGTGCTTGGATTACAACTGTGAGCCACCACACCCAGCCTGGTTTTATTTTTTAAATATGGACATTTTCATATATATACAAAGTAGAGATTATAGTATGACTAATGCCAAGATACCAATCACCCAGCTTCAACAATTTTCAGCTCAGGGTCAATCTTATCTCATTCCTACCCACCCAGCCCCCTAAAACGCCGTCACCAGATTACTTATTTAGACGAAAATCTCTGATGTCATATTATATTTATGTATAATACGCTGTTCTGGAAGGCACAATTTGTAATTTTTTTTTTTATAGTGAAGTCAATCAGTCTCTTTGTTTTTAGTTTCTGCCTTTGTCATTTAATCTTGTTATAAAGTTTGTCCTAACCTTGTTATAAAGTTTTTTCTTATGATTTCAATTTGGGAATAGTTGACTCTGATTTATTCTATCGAGTTAGCCAGTTGTCCCAATACCACAAATGAAATTTTTCATCCTCGTTCTTTTGATTTAAAATAATGCATTTATCTGCAGTGAGCCAAGATCATGCCACTGCACTCCAGCCTGGGTGACAGAGACTCCATCTCAAATAATAATAATAACAATAATGCATTTATCATAACACTAATTATCATGCCTCAAGTGAACTTTTTACAATATTGTATTCTATACACTAGGTTGTTATTAAATAGCTGAGTTATCATTGCATGGTGACCATATGAAATCAGGTTCTGCCATCATGAGCTTCATGGTTTGCATCCATTTTATGTCAAACTCTTCTCAGCATGCTATACTTTCATAAGCTTTGCCACTGCATCCAACTAAAATCTCATCTAAAAATGCACCTTATCTAATAATACTTCAGATTTGCCTTAAATGACACAGATTCAGACAAACTGGTGACATACATCAGAAATTATGTTTTATATAATGCATTACCTACAGCATACATTCATTATTCATGTATTCATAATAATGAAAGTATAATGAATTCATAATAATGAATGATTATTGAGCTTTCTTTTATCAATGTTGTTATTTTCATTGTAATGGAAATGATGAAGCATATTTGAATTTTGCTAAATAGCAAAAAAATCTTTGAATCACTTGTATTTATAGAGTAAGTGTGGGTAAGGTAACCAACCATTCTCATTTGCCTGGGATGGAGGACTTTCTTGGAACACAGTTCTTTCATTGCTAAAACCCAGAGAGCTGGTCACTACTGAGATATGTGTTTATATTTACTTCTATCTATATTTCTGTACTCTGAATTCTATTTCATTGATGATTTGTCATTTTTGCACTAAAGACTTTGGATTTAATTATTGAGTCTTCAAAATTAATTTCAAAATTTTGTGCTATGAATTTCACAGTTTATCATCTTTTAAAAATGTGTTGTTTACTTATATAATTATTTTTAATTATTACATATGGACATTAGCAAAATGCCTCTAAATTTCGTATTTAAAAATATTTATATAAGTTATAATTATATAACTATAAACATGTTATAAATAAGCTACATAATTATATAACATCATGTTATATAATTATATTGTAAAACTTATTATATAATAATTTTTAAATATGAAATTTAGAAACATTTTGCCAGTGAATGGAATTTCATCAGAATGATGCTAAGTTTATACAATTAATTTAAAGCAAATAATTATATTTACATTACTGAGTATTCATTCAGGAGTATGGTGTGCGGTTCCTTTTATACAGATCTTATTTTATGCCTGCTAGTAACATGTTTCTTTTTTTATTAAGTTTATGACTAGGTGTGTTTTATAGTCATTGTTATTGTTGCAAGAGTATCAATTATAATGTAGTTATTACAGGAGGCTAGAAATGCCCATAAAACATAGGGATGCAATCAATTCCCTTGTTCCTATTTTAATAAAATTACTATTAATTTCTTTAGAATTTTTATACATTAGAGTTGAACTATGTAATTTTTTGGATCATATTAATCAGATTTTTAAAAATGTATTCTTTTTTGAGATACTTGATAGAAGTATAATTTATATACAAGAAACTGTATCCCTTTTAAGCATATGGCTCAGAGTTTGACAAAAATACAACTATGTAACCACTACCCCAATCAAGACGTAGAATGTTTTCATCACCCATAAAGTTCTCTTAAGCGCATTTCTAACCAATTCCCCATTATCTCTAATGGCATCCCTGTTCTGATTTCTCTGACCATAGTATATAATTAGTTTTGCTTGTTCCTGAATCTCATGCTCATAAAATTGTACAATATATACTGTTCTGTGTCTGACTTTTTTTGTTCAACATTATGTTTTTGATATTCATCCATATTGCCACATGTAACAGTGATTTGTTCCTTTTCATTGCCACATTTGAGTGGTTGAGATGCAAACAGGTGAAGGAGTAGGTAGGGGCAAGCTCCCCCTCATGATACCTAAGAATTATGCTATCCCTCTCCTAGACCTCAACCTCCCAACAGACCCCAGTGTGAGATGTTCCCCTCCCTGTGTCCATGTGTTCTCATTGTTCAATACCCACTTATGAGTGAGAATATGTGGTATTTGGTTTTCTGTTCTTGTGTCAGTTTGCTGAGAATGATAGTTTCCAGATTCATCCATGTCCCTGCAAAGGACATGAACTCATTCTTTATTATGGCTGCATAGTATTCCATAGTGTATATGTGCCACATTTTCTTTATCCACTCTATCCTTGATGGGCCTTTGGGTTGGTTCCAAGTCTTTGCTATTGTAAACAGTGCCACAATGAACATACGTGTGCATGTGTCATTATAATA